ATCCAATTCTTCATCTATGCCAAGCATGAGTTCTACTCTATTAATGAGCAATACCACCAGCCTGGCCCTGCCACTAGTATTTTCTTTAAACATTTATTTATTTGTACACACACACACACATACACACACACACACACACACACACACACACACAAAAATTACAGGAGTTAATTTTCTCCTTCTACCATGTGGGGTCCCAGGGATTGAACTCAGGTTGTCAGGCTTGGCAGTAAGCATCTTTACCTAATGAGCCCTCCTGCCAGCTTGAAGCTGGCCTTTTCATCCCCCTTTTCCAAGTATTTTGTTATAGTTCAATCCAGCCTGCTGCTCTGCTGTTCTGGATGCCTGGAATGCTTTCTATAATTCATCTGTTAGGAGCTTCCTCAAATATCTCATCGTCAGAGAGGGGCTTAGTTCTTCCTCTGTGACTCCTCAACCTGCTGGCCTCTCCTCTTTCTTCCTTCTCTTCCTTTCCCCTCTCTTTCCTTCATACTGGGGTGTATCATACTGCATGCCTTGGTCCTGGAAATCAGACTGGGGTGGTAAGACAATGAGGAAAGAACAGACACATACAGAGAAGTTGGGATCAGGTGGACTGTGCTTGCTCTGATCTATGGCAACTACTATACTACAACCTGGCCCCTGAGGGTGTTTATTATTATGTGTAGCACAGGAGGAGGAGTGAGCTAGCCTGGGTAGGAGGTTCTATAGGGGAGCAGTCTCCTGTAGTGTCCTGGAGGAGGAAGCTGTGCTTACTAGTTTTTGTACAACTGCCAACATTTGAACTGGGATCAGAGGAAGGATTTGCAATGCCTCTGAACCTCACCCCAGGAAAAGGCTTTGCCAATTCCCATGTGTCCACACATTGGGTCCTTGACTTGACTGGGCCCATGCAAACAATACATAGTCACCCAGGACTTCATCCACTCTCTACACAGTCACTCACGACTTCATCCACTCCCTGCACAGTCACTCAGGACTTCATCCACTCTCTACACAGTCACCCAGGACTTCATCCACTCTACACAGTTACCCAGAACTTCATCCAATCTTTACACAGTCACCTAGGACTTCTTCCACTCTACACAGTCACTCAGGACTTCATCCACTCTCTACACAGTCACCCAGGACTTCATCCACTCTACACAGTTACTCAGGACTTCATCCATTCTTTACACTTTCACCCAGGGCTTCCTACACTGGGGATAGAACCCAGGACATCCACATGATAAGAAAGCCCTCTAGAACTAACCTAGCTTTAGCTTTCTGCTTTACTTTGAAACAGGGTCTGTCTAAATGCCTGACTTTGTGAAAAGAAATTTCTTGGGGGACCTGACACTGTTTAAGTTACCCAAGTTGGCCTTGAACTCACTTTGTAGCTCAGGGTACCTCAAGCCTCTCTGGTAGCAGGATGATGGGCCTGTGTCCCTAGGCCAGATGGCTCTTTTTTTTTTTTTTTAATACTGCTGGGAACATAATCTAGGGCCTCTAGCTTGCTAGTCACTGGCTTATTTCTTGAGCTGCAGCTGAGTCCAGCTGAGTGTCCCCCTTCTCTCTTCCTCATTCTAGTTTTTTGAGACTGGATCTCCTGTGACTCAAATTAGCCATGAGCTCCTGATCCTTCTGCTCTGCTTCCTGAGTGCTGGATGATAGATGTGCACCTGATTCTTAGGAATGCATTCTGTAAACTGGGGTCGTTCTGTCTTTCTGTCAGCTTGTAGAGTATGTTTCTGCTGGCCTCTCACCTGTGAAGCTCTTGGGACCCTTGTTCTCCTAGTTCTTGGTAGGAATGCATTTTAAGTTTTGTTCACCAGAAACTTGAAAGGAACTTTTGAATTGAAAAGTGTAGTGTTGCCGGGCATGGTGGTGTACACTTTTAGTCCCAGCACTTGAGAGACAGAGGCAGGTGGATGAGTTTGAGGCCAAACCAAATCAAAACAACAACAGCAACAACAACAACAAAAAAAAAAAAAAAAAAAGAAAGAAAAGAAAAAGAAAAAAAATTAAAGTGCAGTGAGACCATCATTCAGCAGGGCACACTGCCCTGCTCCTGTGCTCCTGTGCTCGCTGTGGGTCCATGGGCCAGCCCCAGCTTTTGCTATAAAAGGAGACATGAACATGGAGTTTAGCCCCCAAGGTTTTTTTCTTCTTCTCCCCTTCAGTACCTTCATTGTGTAGGAACAGGCTCAGATGTTAGTTTATTTAATAGTGTATTTAAAAGATGATTAGACTATTTTTACAGTGGTTAGGATATAAGGAGGCCTGGCTATTATTAGCAAAGTTTTTTTTTTTTTTTTTTTACTTTTCTTTCTCTCTGCTCTTCCCTGGGGTTCTGGCATGCTGGGCAAGGGTTCCACTGTTGAGCTACAGCTCCTGTTAGAGAAGTGTTTCGAAAGTGTTTCACTAACAGTTTGTTCGTAGAGCAGAGAGAGCAGAGGAAAACATGGCTGTTAATTAGGGTGTCTGCAGATGGACAGTGGAGTGAGTAGGTGATTGCCTCATGTTTCTTAAGAGCCTGCCCAAAGCACCCAGGCAGAGAGATTTCCATCCAAGCAGCTAAGTCAAAAAGGGACCCCCAAAGGGCCTGCATCTACCATTACTTCATCATTTGTTCCCCTGGCTCTGCTGCTGTCACAGAAGGAAACCTTGTGGTGTTTTACCTTTGCTTTCCACTCAATACTTTCTCAGCTGAAGCAGCCTACCTGTCACCAGTCTACAAGACAGTGTCATTAGTATGTCACAGCTGAGGCCTCCTTCTTTAAACAGGACAGTTTGTCACCTTGGTGACTCACAAAGGGCTCAACAGCTCAGACTCTGGAATTCTTACCTTGGCCTGGAGTTTCAGGTCTCCCACTTGACCAGACTTGGTTCTTTTCGTGGTTGGCATTGATAGGAACCACCTCAGTAGGTGAGGTAGCATTTTGCTTGTTTTGCTGTAATGCACACCATCTGATTAATCACTGTGGATTACGTTAGAGCAACAGTGCTGTGTATAGTGGAAGCCCTGGATACTGCCTACCCAGTTTTGCACTGGCATGGCCCTGCAGGCTCCTGAACTACATACAGCTGGTCAAGTTCGAGAGCTTTGTTTGAATCGAAACATTCACATTTCTTTCTCAAGTTCCCCCTTTGGTATTTTGTATCTTTTTGAAGTTGAAGAATGCTCCTCTTCCGAGGTCCTGCAAGATGTTGCATTAAACTTGGAAGTTTAGGTGTACCGTGGGATCAGTGACAAAGTTGCCAATGTATGTGGAACTCCACAGATAATTCAGAAGGGCTTTAGGAAGGCAGTGTTGAGGACGAGCATTTCTGTAAAGCTTGTTCCATAGGAAATATTTTTCAAATTTGGGGTGAGATCCACTTGTGGGTGGGAGTACATTGATGGTTTTCTCAACTAAACACAACGGAAGCCATTAGATTATGTTACCGTTGTGTGGTGACACGTTTCAGTTATGTATGTTATAAAAAAGCCACTTCAACAGTTTTCAGGAGTCCAGGCGTCTGTCACATCACAAACTGTTTTAAGGCTGGAATAGGAACATGGCAGGAGCCTATTTTGGTGATTTGAATATTGTCAACTGCTTTGTGACACTAGGCTTTCTCCCCCCCACCCCCCCATCTCAAGACAGGGTTTCTCTGTGTAGCCTAGCCTTAGCTGTCCTGGGACTCCATCTGTAGACCGGGCTGGCCTTGATTCAGACCCACCTGCCTCAAGGCTTTCTATTCTATTTTTTAATTTTTAGATTAAAAAATGTTTATTTGATATGTACGAGTGTTTAGCCTGCATGTGTGTCCTTGTGTACCACATGAGCACTTGGTGCCTGAGGAGATGGGGAGCCTCCATGTGGGTGCTGAGAATAGAACCCAGGTCTTTCACGACAAACAAGAAGTCCCCTTAACCACCGAGCCAACTTTCCAGCCCTTAGCTTTCTTTTCTTAAGTTTTCTTTATGATTTGTATGAGTGTTTTGTCTGCATGTATGTCTGTGCACTAGGTATGTGCTTGAGTTCAGAAGAAGGCATAGATCCCCTGGAACTGTAGTTATGGACGGTTGTAAGCCACCGTAGGGGTGCTGGTACCTACGGAGCCATTGCTGCAGATGTGTTTTCTTTTTTTTTAGATTAACATTTATTTATGAGTGCATGTTTGTGCCAGAGGACAACTTGTGAGAATGGTACTCGGGGCATTAGTCTTGCCATCTTGCTGCTCTGACAATAGACTTTCTATGAACTTTGTACTTTTCCCCGTTGAAATTGTAAATTGGTGTTAGGTGCTTCATGACTTCCCCAAACTCGCTTCCTTTCTGGTTATATTGTCTTCTCGGTGCTAACTGGAGAGGTCTGGGCGCAGGTTTGTTTTCTTGGGGATTTCATTTTCTCCAGAAGCATAGGCCAGGTGTGGATGACTGGAGGGGGACAGCGGTCCATCACCGTGTCTGGAGGTGGGTAGGCTCCGTGGGTAGGTTGTTTCTTCTAAGAACTGTCCGCGGCTCGGGGGTGGGGGTGGGGGGGGCAGGGAACCGCTCAGCCGATAGCACCCTCTCCCAGGAGGTCAACACCGAAGTTCTGGAGAGGGAGGCTCGCGAGGCCCTGGGCGCGTGTTTCAGAGTTGCCGCGCAGGGCCCAGGCGAGGTCAGCGTGAGTCAGCCCTGGGCGCGGCCGGGCTGTTCGCGCCAAGCTGGCCACGGCCCGAGGGGGCGCGCAGTAGCTCCTGTGGAAAACCCAGCAGCCCAGCGCTAAGTCGCCGATCTACCGGGCGGGGAGGGCGGCGCTTCCGGGGAGGCCCGCCCGACCCCGCCTCCAGAACCACGCCCACAACAGACCACGCCCACAAGAGCCCCTCCCCTCCCAGGGCCCCGCCCATCCGGGCGCGGGCGGGCGGCGTCGCCTTTAAGAGCTCCCCGGTGTTTTGGGGGCCGCGGGCCGGGCGCGCTGACCTGGTGCGCATGTCCCGGGCGGTGACGCCGGCGCCGGGCTCCATGTGTGCGGCCGAGGGGCGCATTATCTGGCCGGCGGCGCGGGCGGGCGGAGCGGCGGAGCGAGCGCCGCGGGCCCGGGCGGCCCCTCAGGCGCAGCGAGCACGCGCGGCCGGCGCCCCCCGCCCCCCGCTCCGTGGACACGCGCGCTGCCCCCGGGCCCGGTCGGTGCGCGGCCCGGTAAGTTCCCAGCAAACTTGGCCAGGCGGGGCGGGGGCGCGGGAAAGTGGGAGCTCGGTCGCATACGGCGAGCTGCGCTGCGGTTCGCTTCGCTCGCGCCGCGGGAAAGTTCCCCGCCGCCCGCGCACGTGGGTCTGGGGGCCGGGGTCCCGGGAAGTGGCCAAGCAATCTCGTTGCCTCTTGAGCTTTTCGGGCTGGGAGGCCGTACCGGCGGGGGCGGCGGGAGCGGCGGGAGCGCAGCACGTGGGCCAGTGGCGTGGGGCGAGGGTCCACGCGAGGGTCGGGGGTCCCGGCCCCGCGGCGGCGTTGAATCCGGCGGCGGCGGCGGCGGCGGCGGCTGCGGCGGCGGAGGATCCCGTGTCAGAATAAGAGTCCCCGCGCGCCCACGCCTGCAGGGCTGGCCCTCCCCTCCGCACCCCCCCTCGTCCTGCTTGGGCTCGCGCCCTTCCTGCTTGACCCCGGGGAGCCAGGGGACCCTTCCCCCTCTCCTGGTTCCTGGCTTCCTCATGGCCCTCCACTTTAAATTTGCCTCCGGGTCTATGAGGTGGCTCTATTAATTTCTTTTTTTCTTCCACCTGGAACGGGTTGGCATCAGTGACTAGACAGCAGCAGCTGGCCTTTAAAGGGATTAATGCCAAGAATCGGAATTGATCACTTCAACAAGGAAAGGCTTCTGGGCAGGCCTCAGCCGCAGCCGGACACCGATATGGGTCTGTGCTCACTGAGACCCAGAAATGAATGGGGATCCCTTATTGGGACCTGTATGGCAGTCTGTTTCCTCTCTGCCCCTGCAGTTTAGCAGAGGCTGCAAGTTCTACGTACCTGACCCACTGCAGGTAGTTCACCCTTATCTTGAGGCTTTGGATTCTTTAGGACAAAGTCCGGGTGAGTCTCCAGAGCCTTGAATTTTTCTTCACAGCGTTTACTTCCTTTTGCCTTCTTGGAGTACACGGCGCTCCCCACATCCCTGTTAATGTGTGTGTGTGTCCATTCACAAAGTGACAACTGGTTGTGGACAGAACCCTATATGCTGAGCTTCAGTCTTGTTTTGATCTCATCCTGCCCTTCAGAGAGTACAACTTTTTTAAAAGTAACATTATACCACAGCACTGTATGTGAATACCCTCCAGTCCATAGCTTAGACCTGGCCCTCAGATAGGAGAACCTGCTGTGTGCAAGTGCCAAGTTTCCTTTGCAAATATAGCAAGTAGAAGAAGAAATGATCCCTGGGATGTAGGGTTCGTAATACCTATCTACTTTCCAGTTGAGGAGTTAAAGCTTCTGAAGGCCCTGCTGTGTGTCCCCTCCCCACGTTCCCTGTCCCCCTCTCCCGGTTTCCGCCTCTTAGTGGAGGGGCAAAGATGGGCTTGTGGTTCCTCTCAGCGTTAGAGTCGGGGAAGGCTGCTGTTTTCAGCCTGCTTATAAGAATTCCCCCAGCTCCAGAACATGAGCCAAGCTCCTTGTACCTCTGCATGGAGGCGGCGTAATCTGGTGACAAGAACACCATGCCAGCCTTGCTGTGTCCCCGGAGAACGGAATCCAGCTGGCCTTTGAGGGGCACAGCCACTAGGCTGCTGCGGACTCAGAGTTCTCTAGAGGAAACAGTTAAGTGTGGGAATTTTGAGAGCAGTTCCCTAGGCTTTCTTCACTCACTACCCACCTCTTATTCTTCATCTGCTCCCCGAAATTCTGAAGCATTTTTAAAAAAATGTTATTTTTTTTTTGGTGTGTTTGCGCTCATGAATGTGTGGAATCAGTGGACAACTTTCTGGAGTTGCTTCTCCTCCACCGTGTGGGTTCCAGAGAAAAAGTTTAGATGCTCAGGCTTGGGGGCAAGTATCTTTCCCAGCTGAGAACCCTGCCACAACCTTCTCTTTAATTCAGGGGTTGCCTTTAGCCTTGGAAGCAGTGTAGTGCAGGAAATGGGAGCATTTGTGCATTACTGATTGATCACCATGCCTTGTTAGTTCCACTCTGATGACATTTCTTTAGTGTCATGTCATCTCTATTAATGTGTCATTTGGCAGGTCCTGTGATGAAGCATATTATGATGGTGACAGATCTGTGCAGTGTTTGGGTCTGAGCCTCCTCAGGAAGCTTTCTGGAAGCTGTTGTGTCTGTGTGCTGCCCCACCCACCCCCAGGAAGGAGCTATTTTATGTTGGTTTGGTTTTGTTTCTTTTTGAGACAGGGTCTCACTCTAGCCAAGGCTGGCTTAGAATCACCCTATAGCCCAGGCTGGCCTCAAACTTTGTATAATCCTCAGCCCTTATTTGAGTAATAAAGCACATTGTTAAGACTTAGATGCTCAGTTCTTCAGTAGCTGCCTGACTTGTTCTGCATCATTTATTCTGTGAATTTCTGGCATTGCAAATAGTGATTTGCAGATTGATTTATTCAGTGTGTATCGGTGTGCATACTGTGCCTCTGGCTCTGTACTAGGAATCACTTCTCAGGAGAGGTACAGTGAGGGTAGTGGGCTAAGAAAACTTAGAGGGGACAGAGGGAGAAGGGCTGTGTGACCTTGTGGGCTGGGGCTTTTCCCTTTGGGGGTCACAGGATAAGTAGGGGTTGAGTACATCAAGAGAAAAATGGAGAGTTTCTGGATGGAGAGTGCTTGAGCTGAAGGCAGACTGGAATTGTTCAGTGTGTGTTGATCATGTGTGTGTGTGTGGGCCCTCTGTTGTGTGACCACTCCCCCCCATCTTGTGGACAGGCTTGGCAGGCTGGCAGCTGGGATTTCCCCTGAGAGCAGTGGCACTCATCAAAGGGGGCCAGACAGAGACCAGGCCAAGACCTCTCTGGGTCTGAAAGGATGTAGGTGGGAAAGCAGCAATGCCATTCAGCAATGTGGTATCTGTTCTTCTGGAGAAAATTAAGATCTTGACTTCAGAAGTCTTGGTTTTTAGCCCTTCTAGAGAGTTGGGCTTAAGACCAGACCAGACCAGCCACTGAGTGCCTGGGTGTTGAGAAAGCCCCTGCTTGGACTCCAGTCCCCCCCCCCCCCCCCCCCCCCCCCCTTGAGACAGGGTTTCTCCATGTAGTTTTGGTGCCTGTCCTGGATCTCGCTCTGTAGACCAGGCTGGCCTCGAACTCACAGAGATCCGCCTGGCTCTGCCTCCCAAGTGCTGGGATTAAAGGCTTGCGCCACCACCGCCTGGCTATGGACTCCAGTTTTCTGTCCCTCACAGGAGCAGCAGGGCTGTTTTCTTTGCCCTCATAAGTGAGGTAATTTATGCTCAGTGTGGAGAGCTGGGAAGATTATGAAACAGGCTATAGGTGCAGTCTTAGAGGAGCATGGCTGGGCCTTCCTCCCAAGAACCAGAAGAACAAGTTGTCAGTGCCACAGTTTGAGGCTGAGTGTGGTTATTGGTTAAGCATGGATGCTGCTTCAGGAGGTGACAGACTGTCAGGTAGCAGGACTGACTTCCTGCTCCACTTGTACAAAGTGGCCTCTTTGGATTGAACGAGGAAGGCAGTGATGGTTGAACTGATCACACAGCAAAGTAGAAGTCCCCATACTGGTATCTTCAGGAAAAAAGAGTGTCCGTTTTTCTAGGCACCAGAAGACTCTTGCCAGTGTGATCCAGGAGAATGTTGGGCTTAGTCCCCTGTCCCTCCCCTTCCCAGAGCTTTCCAGGCTGTATTTGTGACCTCTTTTTGTCTGATGAAAATGTAGGTTAGTCTTTTAGAAGACAAAGGAATTTATTTTAATAGAATACTCATAGGTAGCCTCAGGATGGGACTGGGAGCCTTCAGGTTGCCCAGCCAGGGCCTCTTGCCACATCTGTGGGCTGCACCAGCCTTCTCTTCAACCTCAGAGAAGCACTTGCTGTTTTCCAGGTGTCCTCCTTAGGGACTTAGATTCCATATTCTGTTCTAGTTTTCAGTTCTGGGGTTCCTCATAGGAAAGGTCTGGTGACGCCTCTTTCAGAGCCAGAGCACCCATCTGGGCTCGGGGGTCGGGAATGGAGAAGAGCTCCTAGCAGGTTGAGGTGGGAGTTGTGGAGGTTTGGGGTTGTAGAACTCTGGAGCTACTTGTCCTCAAGGCTAGCAAAGTGCCAAGTGGAGAGCTGTGGCTGGGGGAGAGGGTAAAGGCTGCTTGTCTGAAGGATTTGTTGACAACTCTTCTAGACCCCCACCTGGCTAGTTTGATCTTTCTGTTCCTGTCGCCTACCTGAGGTGGTGCTTTTAAGTGCTTTAGACTGGTCTGACTTAGCCTGTTCTGCCTGGGTGTGAGCCCCGCCTGCCACTTGCTAGTGACTGGCTGCTGCTGACCCGCCCTTTGGTCTCCTTTTCTGGAAAGGGGGTGGTGCTTTCTATCTGCTTGGGGAGGTTGTGTTGGGAGTTAGTGAGATAAGGAATGCTCACAATCTCTTCATGCCTGGGGTGTGGACATGGGCTTCAGCACAGTGGAGTGCGGTTCGGGATGCCAGGCCATAGTGTATTCCTGTATGGAGCACCTTCACCCTGCAACAGATCATCAGTGTCTGTGTGCCTTGTGGAATTTCGCCTCAGCTTTGTGTGACAGCCTGGCCTCATGTTCCATCCAGATGAAGGAGGCAAAGTCCAATACCATGAGGAGGTGCTTGGGAGTGTCACCTTCTGGGCTGTTCTCTGAAGAACTCATCCCCCATCTTTCTCACTTTGTTTTCTCTGCTAGTCACAGGCCTCTCTGGTAACACCAAATGGCCAGGTTGGCTCTGCCCTCATGAAAGGAAGCAGCTTTCTTATAGAGCCCAGCACTCCCGCTTCAGGGCAGATCTGTCATGAGTCCTTTGGGAGCTGTGGGTCCTACTCAACTGTCTTTGTCATGGTGTAGCTGCTGGTGGGTTGTAGTGTGTGTCCATAGTGACCTCTGGGAGCACTAGGGCCCTTCATTTTTCTAGAGTCCCTTCTAGAGAACAGCTCTCCAGGTACTCTTCAGCCAGCCTGAGTAGGCAGAGCTGTCTGTCACTGCTTAGTTTAACTGTTTTTTGTCTTGGGTGGGCCACCTGGCCATATATCCTCAACTTACTCATCTGTGGGCAAGGGATTTCGACTTTCTAGGATAGCTGTGAGGAAAGTGGGAAGTGTCAACAGTCGGGGTCTCCCCTCTTCTCCTTACCTTGGGGCCGAAATCTCCTAGTGAATCACTCAGATTCAGCAGCTGGGTCTTTTTCTCTTGGAGGAGGGGTAGAGGAGGACAGGGTTTCTCTGTAGCCCTGGCTGGCCTGGAACTTGACATATAGACCAGGCTGGCCTCCTTTTTTTAATTTTTATTTTTTTTCTGAGACCAAATTTCTCTATGTAGCCTCAGCTGTCCTGGAACTCACTCAGTAGACCAGGCTGGGCTTGAACTCACAGAGATCTGCCTGCCTCCCAAATGCTGGTCTTAAAGGCGTGTGCCACCACAGACTGGCCTCTTAATTTACAGAGACCTGCCTGAATCTGCCTCTCAAGGAGTACACTACCATGTGGCTGGGTTTTCTTTATGGCGGAATCGTACCACAAGCCAAGGGTGTGGAGG